ATCTGGATTCCACCCTGTCTAGCTACATGACTTGATGTATGAGTTTATCTCTGAGCCTCTTTTCCTCTCTGGACAAGGGAGGAAACAATATCAATGAGGAGGTTTGGGAAGGTGAATTGATATTAAGGCCCAGTGCCTGGCATACCTTATGTGCTTAGCACCGGGGAGACACCACAGGTAACTAGGGAAAATGTTAAATAAGGGACAGTGAAGACTGAAAGCCACCTGTTAGGTGGTCGTGGATGCAGCCTCATTGGTTTCCAGAATCCAGTGCAGCCTTAAGATTTGAGATGTGGAGATAACATCTGTATATGTTTAATAGTGTGCTTCAGTGGGGGAAATGTTGGCCTTTGATCCAAACAGAGGTGGCTATGAATCTCAGCTCCAGAACCTTCTAGCCTCAATCAACCTGTTTCTTCATCTATAAACTGAAATATTAAAACTTCCTTCATAGAGGTATTGTGGGATTCACCAAGGTATTTTCCTCTTCCCTTCATAACATGACTTAGAAATTTTATGGATCACCTTTGATTTTACCTTTTTATTATAGAAATGTTTGAACATACAAGAAAGTAAAAAGCATCCATATACTGATCCATATACACCAAGTATCCTGAATTATGGACCTGTTTGCACTGAGTAGTTTAGTCTGTCCCCACAGTTAGCTAACACAGTGCCTAGCATATAGTAAGCATTCAAGAAATATTTTCTGGTTGAATGAATGGATAGGGGGATGAAGAATGACAAACTTCACTTCTGTCACCAAATACTTATGCCAGGAACCCAAACTCAAATGACTTCAGGGGCCAGACAGGGTGAATCATGCTGGGGTAAGACAGTAAGGAGTAAAGGAGATTGTGGAGAGGACGTGTGCCTTCAAAAGGGACTTGAACTGAGATAAATTTTAACTTTACTCTATGAAGGTCCACTCTCAAAATCCTGTGAGTTGTGTGTGATCTCTGATGCCTGCTACATGATTTGCACCATGCTAGGCATTGAGACAAAGATAATATCATGGAACAGTGAAAGGTAAACTGGTGAGTCCCACAGACCCAATCAACTACTAAGTTGCTTTGGTTAACTAAGCATCAGTGTTCTATCTGCAAATGCAGGTTGAGACTGAATTTGCAGGCTTGCTTAAGAGATTGTGGTATGCAGCCTCTAAGGTGACCCTCAGTGATTCCCCACCTCCTGCTACTCACACCCTTGTATGATCTCTTCCCCTTGAGTGTCAGCTCAATTTAGAGACTTGCTTCTAATGAATAGCATATGTACTGTGGCTTCTTTGTTGAGTGTTCTTGCCGTCTCTTGGATTGTTCACTCTGGGGGAAGCCCTGTACTGAGAGAGCTCTCTGGAGAGGCTCATGTGAGTGAGCTGGGGAATGAATTTTCTAAGACCTGCCAATAACCATATGAGTGAGCCCAAATGCAGATCCTCATCCAGCTGAGTCCTCAGATGACATGACAGTTGCAACCCACGCCTTGACTGCAACCTCATGAGAGACCTTGAGCCAGTGGCACCTAGGTAACTAACACTCACATTCTCAACCCATAGAAACTGTGAGATGAGAAATGTTTGTTGTTTAAGATTGCTAAGTTTTGTTATGAATTTGTTACTTGGCAACAGAAAACTAATATAGGAATCGAGTAAAATGATATATATATGAAAGAATGTAACTCAGTGCTAAAGACATAGTAAGTACTTAATAAACATTTACTTGTTATATGTGGTAACAGCCACTTAACAAGAAATCTTGATACCCTATAAACAAATGCTATGGCACGAAAATGTGCATCGAGTATAGGGACCCGAAGGAGGGAGTTTCCAGTACTGGCATCAGAGAAAAATTCACAGAAGAAATGAGTATTGGGTTGTATAAGATGACTAAGAATATAAGGCCGAGGAATAGAATAAGAGTGTGCCTGGGGAGAAATGCCAAATGTGGGTGAAGGGGAGAAAGGAAGCAAAACACACTGCCATGTGTGTACCTATGCAACTGTCTTGCATGTTCTGCACATGTACCCCAAAACCTAAAATGCAATAAAAAGAATAAAATTCTCAGAATTTTATTCATAGCTATTATAGTAAAAAAAAAAAAAAAAAAAAAAAAAGTGTGCACATAAGTAGTGAAAGGAACAGCAAGTGTGGATGGTGTGGAGGTTCCAGGGCAGGAGATGAGACACAAGTCAGACCACAGAGGATGCTTATACAGTAAATGGGCTTTGTATTTGATTGACATTTCATTTTAGGATGCTCACTAGAATTGCATATCAGAGAGTAGGAGAGACCACAGAAGTAAGGTCATTCTTTGCCCACCTCCACTGTCTTTTTCAGGTAGTCCTCAAGAGAAAGTTTACTAAGATATTCACTGAGGGCTGGGCGTGGTGGCTTACTCCTGTAATTCTAGAACTTTGGGAGGCTGAGGCGGGAGGATCACTTGAGCCTAGGACTTCAAGATAGCCTGGGCAACATACTGAGACCCCATATCTACAAAAAAAATACAAAAATTAGCCGGGCGTGGTGGCATATTCTTGTAGTCCCAGCTACTCTGGAGGCTGAGGTGGAAGGATTGCTTGAGCCTGGGAGGCAGAATTTGCAGTGAGCTGACATTGTGCCACTGCACTCCAGCCTGTGTGACAGAGTAAGATCCTGTCTTAATAATAATAATAATTTACTAAGGTATCTACCTAAGTCCATTGTCAATTATCTTAGTGTTAAATGGACAAGGCGTGCAGCCTAGGTGGTTCATTTGACCCAGGTCATCTTGTATGAAAGTCTATACCTTGCACTTTTGCTGGCGCCGCTTTTGTTATGTAATAAAATCATGCTCCTCTTGAGCAGCTGGAATTTCCTTTAATCTAACAGACACTATGAATCACACATCCCTGATAAGTGCTTCCTACTTAGCCTGTGGAAAACTCAAGTTAATTTGTGTCCCAACTTCCTGTTCTGCCTTGCTGAGAATCAGTCCTCCTCTGGCTTCGTGCGACTGTTCTAACTTAATTTTGCCATTCCCGTTACCTTTTAAGACTATTTTCATTGTACTGTATTGTAGATTTTTTAAATAGATACTTCAAGTTTTCTGGTGAGTAGGATGTGGTAAACATAAATGTATATAAAGAGTCCTATTAATTCTATGGAAATGAAAATGAGGAAAAGAAAGAATGAATCCTCACCTCCCTCCGCAAATACTTGAATTCCTACATTCTCAGGAAATACTACAAGAAGGGATGAGAGGCTTTGGGAGAAGATGGAGAGTTACTTTTAGCACATGCATATTTGAGGTCTTCCGGAAACAGAGCTGTCCAACGCTGAATTGGTTATGTAAGTGAGGAGCTCAGGAGTGAGGTGGGTTCTGGAGAGAAAGTTTAGAAGTTCCCACCCCAGTTGGTGAAGTCAGTGGAGGAAAGAGACAATTCTTTAGGAGTGATGGCCCAGCCTCAAATGACAGCAATAGAAAGAGAAAAGATGTATGATCTTTTAAGAAAGAAGAAGTTATCCCATGACTGATGGCATGCACATGTATGTTATCCATTCACCATGCAGCTCATAAGTGAATTATATAAGACCACATTGGCACCTAATTTTAAATTATATGAATAGACATGAAGTGCCCATTGACACTCAGCATAGAAATGTTTTCCGGGATACGTACTTTTAATCGATTCATCTCCTTTTCTTATTGAGTTTATAAATCATTTATTTCCCTGTGGTTTGAAAACAAAAAATACAATAGTGTTTGGAGAAGTGATGGTCTGCTATAAAAGTTAGATGGTCTGTACTAACGGGGAAATTTTAATTGCTTCTCGCTTGATCTTTTCCATGCCTGGCACATGCAAGATGAAGCTAATTCATATTATGAAATATAATGTGTACTCTTTTTATTTTATTGGAATGCTTTAAAATGTAAGATCAGAGCTGGCTTAATATTTTCCAAGTAAAACACCATCAAGTGTAAATATTACCAAGGACCTCCAATTTCTCTGTTAAGTGCCCTATATATTTACATGAAAAGGGATTTTAAAAAGTTTCCTCTATTCCCTATTCCCCACCCCCTCACTCAGTTGCTGGTTAATTAACCAATCATAAAGAAAAGATGAAAGTATATGATCCTCAAATCCTTGTGTTCTGGAAAAAAATATAATCCCAGAATAATGAAAATAAATTTCAACTAATGAAAACCAGGAACAATGACCACTGGAGACAGTGAAAACAGTTGGATCAAACAGGTAAAAACTTCACAGAAAATCAGCCCTGAATTGGTCTGGCTTGCTTCTGTGTCTCCTTTAGGCCTGTGTCTTGGGTGGATGATGATTTGTGGGAACGGGGGGAGCTCTTTTCTTCAGAGTACACTGTTGAAATGTTCTTTCAACTTTGTTGGCTAACAGGTTGTTTAATATGCCTTTTTCACCTGGCTTCCATCTCTTTACACACATACTGAAAGTCCCTGCCTTCTGCTGCATTCCACCATCTTGAAACAGCCTATCCCTTATTCAGCCAGCATAGATACTGCATCCTCCCTGACATTGCAGAACAGGTAGATGAGGTGTAGAGTTGTATGACTTACTTGATATGGAGGGGGAACTGGACTTGTTTCATTTTAAATGGTGCTTGTGGTAGTCTATGGCAGGCAAAACTTTCATCCTCTTTTTAGGTATTAGGATGGGATAAATTCTCCAGCCTTCTTTGCAGTTAGGTTGGGGCTTGTGTTGGAGTTCTTGCCAATGGAATGTGCACAGAAACGATGTCTACTAGTGGTTCTCATGCTATCGTGTATAATGAGTCATCCCATCACTCAGGGGTCTTGTTGAAATGCGGATTCTGATTCAGTAGGTCTTGGGTGAGGCCCATGATTCTGCTTTCTAGTAAGCTCTTAGTTAATACCAGTGCTGCTGGATTTATGGACAACACTTCAAGTAGTAAGAATGCACATCAGTTCCAACCTGGCCATGAAATATCATGTGCAGTCTTCCAAGATTTTTCAACCTTATCTGTACAGCTACAAGCAAAGCACTGGGAATGGCAGAATGCTTCCCTCGATGGATGGAAGGAGACTGGATCCCTGTGTCACTGACTGGAAGAGCCCGGCTAAGCAAAGCTGCTAGCTCATGAAAGACTGCGAGGAGAGAAGAGGTAATGTTTTATTGTGTTAACTTGTTGATGTCAGGGTTTACTTGTTACTATAGTGTGGCTTCCTTGAAAACTTCCTCTTATCAACTGCCTTTTCGGAATCTTTCCTTGACTCATGATTTTGAGTTGACTTAGTAAACTTACCAAACACCGACTGGGCACCAAGCATTATTAATAGGTACTAGAGAATATAAAAAGATGAAGGGGGTGGAGTCATCTTTCTTAAGGAGCTGGGAGAGGAGATAAGAAATGGGATCAAATAATGAACAAGTTTCAAAGGGATCAGAGTCCAGTAAGAACTGCTGCCTGAGCTTTTCAGAGAGAAACGGACATCAGGCTTTCTAGAAATGGTTGTATTAACAACAACCTTGAAAGATGAGTAGAGTTTGAATTTATAATGATTAGGATAAGAGCACATTGGAGGAGTTAAAGTTTAGAAAACGGCAGGAAGGTAGGCAGGGAAATGTGGGACTTGTCATTAGGAACAAGTATATGGTGAAGAATAGGAGTAATGGTACATCCAACAGAAATGAAGGTCAGGGTTGTATCACAGAATACTTGGAATGGCAATTTAAGGAGCAGGGATTTATCCTGAGGATAGAAGGGAACTGTTGGGTTTAAATTGGAGTGGGATCTCACTGGATATAATGAGGGGTGTGTGGCTCTGTCACAATAGTTCAGGTATAAGAGACTGAATCCAGCAAACAAAGACAGAAACAGAAAACCAAACACCACATGTTCTCATTCATAAATGGGAGCCGAACAATGAGAACACATGGACACAGGAAAGGGAACATCACACACCGGCTGTTGGTGGGGGGTGGGGGAGAAGGGAAGGGAGAACATTAGGACAAATACCTAATGCATGTGGGACTTAATACCTGCAGTTTTCCAAGATTTTTCAACCTGCAGTCTTCCAAGATCTGTACAGCTACAAGCAAAGCACTTGGAATGGCAGAGTGCTTCCCTCAATGGACAGAAGGAGACTGGATCCCTGTGTCACTGACTGGAAGAGACCAGCTAAGCAAAGCTGCTAGCTCAGGTCAATAGGTGCAGCAAACCACCATGGCACATGGATACCTAAGTAACAAACCTGCACATTTGGCACATGTATCCCAGAACTTAAAGCAAAATTAAAAAAAAAAAAGAGGCTAAGGACTGAGCATAAAGATGAAAAAGGGAAATCTGACAACATTGTGAGAAAGATAGAGAAGCACCTCCCCATTCCACTCCACCCCCTGTTCAGAAACCAGGGTGCTGCCTCTCTGAGATGTTGTGTCTTGACATGTAACCACTGTGTCTTAGTTATATGTAACAACGTCAGTAAGCCATGGAGATAGGTCTCAGACCCCTGGCTTCTTGCTCTGAGCTCACTATGTTTCTACTTGAGTATGAGGTTGTTGCCGTGTTGTAGGTGGCCTCTGAAGTTGTACTTGGTGAGCTGGATCTATGTACAGCATAATTCGTATCATGCAATGTGAGCACCCTTGCAAATTTATCTTCAATCATTTTGAGTCACTCCACTGGGGAAATTTATTGGAATTCTATTGCACTATGACCCACCAACAGCAAGTTTAAGACACACTTTACAAAGACATTGGCTACTCTAAAGATGCTTCAACCAAACCTGCTGCTATTGCTTTGGCGTCTGTACCACATCTGCATGAGAGGGTTTAGAAGGTCTTTCTTTTTTTTTTTTTGAGATGGAGTCTTGTTCTGTCTCCCAGGCTGGAGTGCAGTGTTGCAATCTAGGCTCACTGGAACCTCCACCTCCCTGGTTCAAGCAATTCTCAGCCTCAGTCTCCCTGGAATTACTGGTGCCCACCACCATGCCTGGCTAATTTTTTTTTATATTTTTAGTAGAGATGGGGTTTCACCATCTTGGCCAGGCTGGTCTTGAACTCCTGATGTTGATATCCACCCGCCTCAGCCTCCCAAAGTGTTGGGATTACAGGCGTGAGCTACCAGACCCGGCCTCTCTCCTTTTCTTTTCTTTCTTTCTTTCATTTTCTTTCTGTCTTTCTTTTCTTCATCCCTCCTCTCTCCCTCCCTCCTTTCTTCCTTCCTTTTTTTTGAGACAGGGTCTCACTCTCTCACTGAGGCTGGAGTGTAAAAGGGAGAACTTTCTGCAACAGTTGTCAGATAGAAATTTGTTTGAATCTTACATCTGCCACTTCCTAACCATGTGATCTGGAACAAATAATTTAACATCCTGGAGCCAAAGTTTTTATAGTTTAAAATGGGGAAGGTGATTACCTGCCAAAATTATATGAAGGTTCCATGAGATGATGGTGATGAAGTTCTGAGCACAGTGCATTGCTCCCAGTGCTGACAGTCCAATCAGCATCCATGCTGCTATCTCCATCCTGGGTGTACTGAGAGCAAGGTTAGCTGCTATAACAAACAAATCCAAAAGTTTCAGTGACCTTCAGGTAATAAAACATTATTTTTCACTCACCAAGCTATTGATATGGGTGTTCCTGGTTGTCAGAAAGCCTTTCACATGGTGAGTCAGAAACCCAGCCTCCTTCTTCCTGTGGCTTCTTTCTCACCTAAGATGTAAAAAGACAGGATGGAGAAGGCATGCCTTGGACCAGGAGTGAGACACATAACTTCTGCTCATTGGTGTAAATTGGTCACATGAAGGACCACCCAGGAGAAGGAAGAGGTGCTGGGAAATGTAATCACTGACATGGCAGCAGCAGCAACTTCCCAGAGACAATTCTACACTTTGGAAGGGAAGCAGTTAGCGGTCTCTACCGTAGGAGGGGGAATACTGAGGCAGGATGGGGATATGGGCCAGGAAGCTGGGTTTATAGTGGTGAAAACAACATGTCAGATTCACATTTCTTTCCTCTCTGTCTCTTGTAGAGCTTAATCCAGCAGATCCTGTCCCACTTGGAACCTGGCTATGAGTGAGAAAACATCTGTGGTTGGAAAATGGGGCTGGTGATTCAGGCCTGTTTGGGGCTTGAAGAAGATGCTCTTAAACGCTTTGCTCAACAAACACCTCCCTTCTGCAAGGAGTTGAGAGGTCATCTGTCTGTCTGCTTTGACACTTTCACCCAGTAAACTTCAGGGCTGAAGACACTTTCCCCATAAATTGGAGTGAGCTCGGCACAAACTGTCCTTGAATTTGACCATCACTGACTCACCGAAGGTCTGAGTAGAGGAGAAGGCAAATGCAGACAAACAGGCACTGAGGACTTTGCCATCCCAGACCTGTGTCATGTAAACAGACTGTCTGCTTCACAGCCAAGGAATGAGCCCTGGACGTGGGTCGGAACTGGAATCTTAACGGCTAATACCCAGAGCCTTTGACTGTGGACGACTGTGTTCAAAGGGGCAGACTGCCCACTACTAGGTCACGGAGGAGAAGCAGGATGTGGGGAAAGAGTGTGGTTTTGGAATCAGACGCAACTGGTCCCCGCCACTTACTCAGACTTGTGATCCTGGATGAAAAAGTCTCTTATTCTTTTTAAGGCTCAGTTTCCCCAGCTGTGAATCTGACATAACGCTATGGACCTCAAATGGCTTTACAAGCAAAACAATTTATAAAACAATTTATCCAGGCACATAGCACAGTGCTAGCACATAGATATATAAGAGTTTTTTCTCCGTTCCTTCTACATGGAGGGAGAGGCATCTGTTGTCTCTTCAAGCTAATTAACTTGAAAATAGTCAATAGCAACCATTTCTTAAATTCCTCGTGTGAGCCATTTAGTTTTTGCAACAACTGCAAGACAGACAGTATTATTCCCATTTTACAGATATGAGCATTGAGGCTCAGGAAGTACACCAGATATAGTGACTTTGATCTTTTCATTGCCCTGTCATTAAAGGGAGAGAGAGAACAAGACCAAAAGAAACAGTTGAAAGAATAAATGTCAAACATAGGAGGCTGGAGGCATAGTCTCTAACCCCAGCCTAGCCCTGGATAATAGCATTTTGCTCTTGCTATAGCTATAGCAGACACCAGCTGGGTGCCCTCCCCCCACCGTTTTATTCATTTGTATGTTCAATGAGCAATTTATCTATTGCTAATTCCTTAGCAAGCATTTACTCTGAGCTTTCTTTTATTATTTCTGTGATTATTATTCATTTTAGAGTCAGGGTTATGCCCTTATGTTGCCTAGGCTGGGGTGCAGTGGTTATTTACAGGTGTGATTCCACTGCTGATCAGCATGGGAGTTTTGACCTGATTTATTTCTGACCTGGGCCCATTCGCCCTTCCTTAGGCAACCTGTGATGCCCCACTCCTGGGAGGTCACTGTATTGATGCTGAACGTAGTATGGCACGGCACACTACAGCCCAGAACTCCTGGGCTCAAGTGATCCTTCTGCCACAGCCTTCCCAGCAACTGGGACTACAAATGCATGCCATTGTGCTCAGCTACCATGAACTTCCTATGTACTCAAATCCTGCTACTCAAAACATGATTCCTAAGCCAGAAGCATCAGCATCACTGGGAGCTTAATAGCAATGCTGATTCTCAGGCCCAGCCTCCGACTAACTGAACTAGAGAATCTGCATTTTAACAAGATCCCCAGGTGATTCACAGCATATATGAAAGATTGAAAATAGCTATCCTGGATACTTTTCTTTCCTTTTTTTTGAGTCACTCTGTCGCACAGGATGAAGTGCAGTGGTATGATCTTGGTTCACTGCAACCTTCCACTCCCAGGTTTCAAGCGATTCTCCTGCCTCAGCCTCCCAAGTAGTTGGGGTTACAGGTGCCTGCCACCACTTTTAGTAGAGATGGGGTTTCACTATGTTGCCCAGGCTGGTCTCGAACTACTTACCTCAGGTGATCCACCCACCTCGGCCTCCCAAAGTGCCGGGATTACAGGTGTGAGCCACTGCACCCAGCCTCCTTGATGCTTTTCTATCTTGGTGAAAAACTTACTGGGAGAACTCCCAGTACGCATACCTTCCTTACTGTGAGTAGAAAAACTCAAAAAGTCGAAGTGTTTTTTCAATTCTCTCACTCAACAATAATTACCACTCCTGTGACCAACTCTGTGAGGATTTCTCCCCAACAACAAGCAAACAATCATGTCTGTAGCAGACACCAGCTGGGTGCCCTCCAATCCAATTCAATTCTGATGGGAGGCAGTGTCAGATTCTGCGGGTTAGGGGCTCAGTCCTACAAGGCTGCCCCCAACTTGTGATACCAGTCAAAAGCCCCAGATTGTTTTAGATGTGCTTCTGACTGAGCAGCTATAAGTCAGGGATCCCCTGAACCCCTTTTTGTGTGTGACTAATTTGCTGGAGCAGAGCTTACAGAACTCAAGAAAACACTTAACGTTTATTGGTTTATTACCATATTAGTTCGTTTTCATGCTGCTAGTAAAGACATACCTGAGACTCGGTAATTTATAAAGGAAAGAGGTTTAATGGACTCATAGTTCGTTCTACATGGCTGGGGAGGTGTCACAATCATGGCAGAAAGCAAAGGGGAAGCAAGACATATCTTACATGGTGGCAGGCAAGAGAGACAGCACGTTCAGGGGAACTGCCTTTATAAAACCATCAGATCTCGTGAGACTTATTCACTTTCATGAGAACAGAACAGGGAAAACCAGCCTTCATGATTCAATTACCTCCCACCAGGTTCCTCCCATGAAACGTGGGGGTTATTAATAGGTGAGATTTGGATGGGGATAAAGCCCAACTATATCAATTATAATGGATATTACAAAGGATACAGATGAAGAGATGCATAGGTCAAGGCATGGGGGAAAGGGCATGGAGCTTCCATGCCCTGAGTGTACCAACCTCCAGGAACCTTTACGTATTCAGCTGCCCAGAAGCTCTCTGGACTCTGCCCTTTTAGGTTTTTATGGAGGCTTTATTATGTAGGCATAATCGATTGGTTAAACTATTGACCATTGGTGATCAACTTAACCTTTGGCCCTTCTCCCCACCCCAGAGGTTAGGGGTGGGGCTGAAAGTCTTAACCCTCTAATCATGTCTTGGTGACTACCCCTCATTCTGAAGTTACCTGGGGCCTGCAAGCTATCAGTCAACTCATTAGCATATACAAATACATCACTGTCGATTCCAAGAATTTTAGGAGTTGTATGCCAGAAACAGAATGAAAGATTTAAATACATGTTTTACAATATTACATTAATCCACACAAGAAACAATGGGGCACCTCTAGAACAGATATTTTTCTGCACTTCAGTGCACCTGTGATCATCTAGACATGGGATCTCCAATCATTTGGCTTCTCTGGGCCACATTAGAAGAAGAAAAATTGTCTTGGGACACACACGAAACACACTAAGCCTAATGATAGCTGATGAGCTAAAAAAAAAAATGGCAAAAAAAAAATCTCATAATGTTTTAGAAAAGTTTACAAATTTGTGTTGGGCTGCATTCAAAGCCATCTTGGGCTGCATGTGGCCCACGGGCCCCAGGTTGGAAAAGCTTGGTCTAGAGCCTTGGTGACCACTCCTTCCTAGCGGTGCATATGTGGTGTACACCGCTAGGCCTTAACAGAATGGTAAGTGCAGCAAAGAAGGCTTTGGTCTTAGAAAGTGTTTAGGGGCTCTAATCTTTTCATCAGCTGTACCCCACTTGTGGCCTGGGGATTCAGTTGGAGGCAGAGTAGCAGTGCCTGAGCCCTGAGCCCTCTATACATGGTTTCCAAGATATTTCTTGTTGTGTCACCATATGACCACAATTAACCTACAGTTAACCTTAGCACCACAGTGATTATGTGACCTTGGGATAACTCTGTCTCATCTACCCAACTGTGCCCAGGCACCACTTGTGGGGATTCCAGAGTCCTGAAATATGGAAATGGGAAAATCTATGTTTTACTTCTTGCCTCATTTGGAAGCAACTGGTTATTTAAAAGGCAGCAACTCAAGATTCAGCAGAGGAGATAGGGCCTGGCATGCATTAACTATGTTCCCATGAGCACTCAGGAAACCATGTCATTATTTACAATTAGGGAGCATCTGCCACATGCCAGGCAGCAGGAAGAGGGTCAGCACATTGACAGGTTTCATTCTTATGATATCTTTGGATGGGTAGCATGATTTCCATTTTCAGAAGAGGGAACTGAAGCTCAGAGAGACTACGTGACTTGCCCATGTCACATAGGCAACCAATGGTAGTGCAGGACTACATCCATACCTTTTAAAAAACTTGGCATGGGAATTTTAATAAAAGAAATCATGCATTTTTTACAATTAGAATGGAAACTTACATTCAAATAAAGGACACTTTCATTCATGGGCTTTGGGAATGTAGGCTGTTACTCCCCTGCTACTTCAGGGGAACTGCAGGAGAGGGTGTAGAGGATGAGCAAAGTTAGTCACGAATGGGTGCAGAGACAATCTGGGATATGTTCTGCTGCTGTTCCTGATGTATCACAGCCATCCTGCTCCTTGACTTCCCCACTTCAGCTTGAATGAGCTCACCGTGAACCAAGAAAGTGGCAGGTCCTGGATGAAATGCACTGCTTTAGTGTCTGTTCTTCTTCCAGCTTTCAGGCCCGTGAGTGTCAGTTGCAGAGCACGTCTACACTGATTCCCTAGCATGTGGCACAGGCAGCCCAACTGACCACTAGGCAGGCTTTGTTGCTGCCAGAGTTTTGAGCTGGGCTCTGCTACCCTCAGGAGCCCAGTTTGGAAGCTTGGAGCCTCGTGTAGGAGAAAAGTCATTCTGTGGTCCTAAGCTTCAGAGGGAAGTGTTAACATCTTGGTAATTAACACCAAACAGCTGTTACTCCCTATACAATCTTCCTTTGGAAGCAGTAGTGGAGTCAATGTAAACTGAAATTTACATTAGGATCCCCACTCCTCCTCTGATTAGTTCAGTGATTTTTGTCAAAGTCAGGCAACCTCTCTGAATCTCAGGTGAATTTTTTTCAGTGGAAGGTTCAAATGAGAGAGGCTGTCAATGTTTTAGTACAGGCCTTCCTGCCAAATAGTCATTCAATAAATAATTGCAGTTAGTATCCCATTTTGCTGCATGAAGTTTACTGGAATATAAACACATATTCATTACAACAGTTTCAGTTGTAAGTAACAAAACTCAATATAAACATAAACAAATGAATAAGATTTTTTGTACTCAGCAAGAACAACTTTAGGTCAGCTGAATTCAGGGATTCCAATGGTGACATCAGGGCCCAGCTTCCCTTCACCCCTCAGTTCAGAGTTTCTCTGGGTACTGGCTGTATCCTGTACCTAGGCTCTGGCTACCCACAGCTCCAGATTCACGTTTTCCAGCTTATTAACTCCCAATGCCCATTTACCAATCCAGGGAAGATTTTGATTGGCCTTGATTAGATTACCCTGCTGTAGCTGGACCAATCACAGTTGCTAGAGGCATTGAGCACTGACATTGGCTAATCTAGAGTCACATGACCAACCCCGTGATGAGAAAGGGAATGTTGGTAGACGTGGAGATTGGCAGCTCAGCTGGGAAGACGCAGAATGGAGACGAGTATCCTCAAAGGCATTAAGGATGCTGGGCAGATGAAAACAAAACAGTATCTACCTCAAGAGCCTCAGAGAAAGGTATTTGCTCCTGACTGTTCCCTAGGTCACCCTGTGAGTCAGTGCTAGTCCTAGTAAAGTTGTTTCTAAAGTCATTAAAGAGAATTCTGTTGGCTTAGAAACACATATAGCTTCCAGTCAAAGTAAAATAACCTGTAGAAGAGTTGCTGTTGAGCTGTGTGAATCTGAATAGTAAGTAGGATTCCCAGGCAAAGCCTGTGACTTTGGCTTAAAACACATGGAACGCAGGGTTGGGTGTCACGTGGACGTCTCCTGCTCTAGTTGCTTTTAGATCATTGCCGTGCACATCAGGATTGAGTGGCACAAGGGAACTCCTGCCCGTATTCTGAATGCCCCTTTTATTTTTTTCCTTCAAAACTTTTCTGAAGTAATAACACCCAAAGCTTACCTTATGTCACATGGATAGTTCTTTGACTCTGTAAGCTATAAACTTGCCAGCTCTTTCTTGGCAGACATTTGACCATTGTGCTAGTTTGAGGTTGAGAAGGTCAGAATTTGCCTTTGCAAACTGATAAGGATATTTCTGTTTCGATCCCTGCCAGTCCTTCCCAGTGGTAAGAACCACAGTCTTCCTTCTGAGCTTTTTTCCTAGTAATTATTTTATTTGTTTCACAAATACTCTTTGAACACCTGTTTTGTGTAACAGGCTGTGTTAGAAGATGAAGCCCACACCTGTGAGCCAGATATGAGCTGTCCCTCATCACCTTGCTCTGCTTCTTCAGGCCCTCATCCGTTTTCCCACCCCTGCCAATGTAGAGAAGGCTTCCAGCGCCTCTTGACTTAGGAGTTCTAAAGAGAGATGGAGGAAGGAGATGACTTTGCACACCTTAGCAAACAATTTAACAACATTCTTCTGCAACATTTTCGTCGTTCAAGGTTGGTTCTGGGACATGGCCACGTGCTTGAGTCATGAGTTTCCTGCTTTCCCTTTTCCTCAGCCTTTCTGGCCTCAGTTTCTTCCATCCCGGTATCCACTTTCCTCCCCCATTCTTACATATTCGGCACTCATTTTCATGAAGTAGATCAATTATCTTTACCTGAGCTTTAACCTCCAATCTTATACATGCCAAAGGCATCGTAATGCTTAGAAGACTAAAGGACCTCCAGCTTCCAGAATGTATGCTCCTTATAAAGCAATGTTAATTTGTTAGTTATTGGGCACCATTTAGCACTCAAAGGCCATGGCAGCATTGCTCAAAAGTGGACTGAGACTACCTGCTCCCAGATGCTTAAAATTTAATTTTAAGAATTAAAATTTTCGGCCACATGCAGAGGCTTACACCTGTAATGCTAGCACTTTGGGAGGCCAAGGTGGGAGGATCACTTGAGATCATGAGTTCAGATCAGCCTGGCCAACATGGTGAAACTCTGTCTCTACTAAAAATACAAAAATTAGCCAGGCTTGGTGCCTCACGCCTGTAGTTCCAGCTACTCAGGGTGCTAAGGCATGAGAATTGCTTGAACCTGGGAGGCGGAGGTTGCAGTGAGCAGAGACTCCAGCCTGGATGACAGAGCAAGACTCTGTCTTAAGTAAATACATACATACATAAAAGAATTAAAATTCTGGAGCTCTACCCCAGGTAAACAGAATGAGAATCTCTTTGGGGAAGGGTAGTTGTTCTCAACTCTGTCTGGGTATAGGATACACCTGGAGAGCTTTTTGTCTTTGTCTTTGTTTTGTTTTTTAATTGTTCCCAAGTGATTGAAATATGGAGCCAGGATATTCAGTCTTTGGATTCTAGAGGCACCTGCATTTTTTTAACAAGCATGGCAGGTGACTCTTACGCAGCTAATGTTTGCATTATGGAAATTTAGAGGCTAAAAGATAATTTTCTG